GACTGACTGACTGACTGACTGACTGACTGACTGACTGACTGACTGACTGACTGACTGACTGACTGACTGACTGACTGACTGACGGAACTAGGGATGAAAGTTTATTAGAAAGTATCGATTTTTTTAAAGGCAGAATCTTGAAAATTGGAATTGTATGTTCTCATCATAAATAAATAATAAAGTCTTTTAGGGTTTTTGCATTTTCGGGGGAAACGGGGGGTGAAAATTTGTTTGAAAGTCTGTATATATTTCTGTTGTTCCTAAAAGTTAAAAACATCAAAATTTAAAATACAACAGCTAATCAAAAATATATAATGATTTGTTTCATGGTTTTTGGATTTTTACATTTTAAGAGGGGAGGAAATAAAAAGAAATAAATAAAAATAAATAAAAATAAATAAAAATAAATAAAAATAAATAAAAATAAATAAAAATAAATAAAAATAAATAAAAATAAATAAAAATAAATAAAAATAAATAAAAATAAATAAAAATAAATAAAAATAAATAAAAATAAATAAAAATAAATAAAAATAAATAAAAATAAATAAAAATAAATAAAAATAAATAAAAATAAATAAAAATAAATAAAAATAAATAAAAATAAATAAAAATAAATAAAAATAAATAAAAATAAATAAAAATAAATAAAAATAAATAAAAATAAATAAAAATAAATAAAAATAAATAAAAATAAATAAAAATAAATAAAAATAAGTACTGCGTGCAATCTGGTGATATTAGCAGATGAGAGCCATACCAGAAATGTGGTATAAAATGAGATTATCAATTAGATTAATATATTTAAATATTAGAATAGTCTAATTAACATTAATCTATAATACTATTACAAACATACCGTGAACAGTAAAACAACATATTACCGCGTTCTTTTTTTAGGAAGTCATGAATTTTTTTATACAAAACACGATTCCACGCGTACGAATAAACCACGGGCAACAACTAGTAAAATTATATTCGCCAACATCCGATGTTCTTTCTCTTAATGTATTAAGAGCTCTTCAAGAGTGTTTTCTATACTACCCCCAACAGACGAGCTTTTTACCAAACTAAGATTTGGTTAAACTTTTTAAAACCAAAGTTTGAACTGCCAGCTGCCAAAGCCAGTTTTTGAAGAGGACAGCGAAGACTGAAAACGAGGAGAAAATTTAATACGATTATTACACAAGAATATAAGTCGTAGTTTTTTTGTTAAAAAAATATGAATACCCTTGCTCTTTAATTAAAGGGATATAATTATTAAAGTTGAGGAATGGCTCTTTCTGTTATATATTTTACCATTCGCACTCGCTCGAGGATAAAATTCAAATCAAAGAACTTGGAATGGTCCCCATGACTATACCTATAACTACTCCGAACTCACCAAACATCTCGTTCTTCGCGTCCATTAGCTTACAGTCCTTTTTCAATATAATTAGTTGAGATCTGATTTGTACGGACTGGTTATCTTGGTGGTATCTGCTCTTCGTTTGATTTACCAGTTCCATTACTTGCACAATATGTGTATTCGATCCACCTTCGATCATTTAAAAACCACCCGATATCATATATCTTTAATTACCTAGATCTTGACTAGATTATGAAACTCTTCCACAATAAGTTTTCCCTGCTGTCCCTAATACTACTCTACACAGGAAATAGATTTTAAAGGTACCATTTGGGAACGCGCGACAAGCGACGCGAGACCGAGACAGAAGTAAGGCAGCAAATATTGTCATAATAAATCTGCTGTCGTCGGTCTCCTCTATAGCACAAGTAGAACTTGGAAATACTTTTGGCAGTTCTCCCACCTTATACACATAAATTGACAGGTTTGCAGCGGATCTAACCGAAGTGGACGCGATACATTGGCGTACAAAATTATTTTATAGATGTTAATAACAATTTCGAGTAAATAGTTTAATAAATTGTGAATGGCTGTTAAAATTTTGTAAAATTATGATTTGAATATTATAATAAATGTTTAATAATTATTTATAGTCCATAAATACATGCGGTTGTCCGGTTCCGCCGGTAACAATTTAAAATTACTTATTCTATGAAACGACACTGGCAGGTAAACATTACTGCGAAATTCTCGAAGTCGTCCGACGTGGTTTGACGTTTACCCCCTCTCTACCTACCAAAAGCCTTTCCAACTTCTACTTGTGCTATACCGAAATGTGTTTCATATAATTACATGTGTTCAGATGTGAAGCGCCCGTTTCTGGTCCCTTGCTGTCCCGTCGCGTCCCGTTTTGAAGTCGGTCTCGCTCTCTCACTTGGGAAATGGTAGCTTTTAGTTTGTTTCGATGATGACGTCAATTCATAAAAAAAACTAAACGTTTTCTTATGGGAGTTTGGAAAATTATTGATACTGTTTTCCACAAATAAGTAACTAGGTACCAATACTGCAAAATAATGTAGAAATAGGTAACTGTCCGTTAAAACGCACTACTAAACAATTTCATATACCTTCCTAGGTATTGAAATAATCAATAGGCAAGGTATACGTACCTATTACCTATCTATTATACCTACCTACCTACCTACTTTTTTAACATCATCTATTAACACCCAGTAGGTGTACCTATATAAAAACTAAAGGTGTACCTACATTATAAGTTTTCTACGTAACAATTTCTACCAATACTACTGGTAATAAACATACTCCCACACCTATGAAAGTAAATTTAATAAAAAAACTTGCACAAGTAATTAGGTAATTACATATGTGCATACCTTATCCCCTTTGTTACAAAAAAAAAACCTAATTTTCGTTTTAATGTTACGTAACGTAAACAAACATAAATAAAGCCAAAGCCTGCTGGGACGAATAACAATTAGGTAGGTACCGCCTGATGAGCTCGTTCACATTGCGCGCCTCGCAACGAGTTTGTCAGGCAAGCAGGCAAGCCTTGCCTCAATTCAGAATTATTAATCGTAAAAAACTTAAAAAAAACTATTTGTTTTCGATATGTAATAATCGCATTGGCGGGCTAACATGTTGCCGGCGGCGTTGCCAGACTTACCTCAATAGTTTCCTTGGGTGATTTAATGGAGAAAAACTGAAATTTTCTTTAGGAGATTGTATACGTGTGCAATTGCACGTAGTTGATTTATTATCCGACTGTATTTCATGAGTTGAATTTTATTTAATTACGGCTTATTTCGACAAGAAAAGTCCTATAGTTTCCTGAACTTAATTTTGTTGAAGGTGAAGGAACAAACATTGCAATTTGAATTTTATCAGTTGAGTCTGGGTGTGGTATACTTAGGTATAAACAAATAAATCCGAAAAATCGATCACAATTTTGGTTGACTTATTAACAAGTTATGAAAGTAATTTTATTTTAAAAATGACGAGGTTGATGATTTTATCATATATCCCATGATCACATTTTGATCAAATTTACCTATATGGAACCACCCCTAAGGTACCTACCCCCTTTAAAAAAAGAATGCTGGAAATCGGATGTTGTAAAAAATTAAACTTAAACACAATAAAAAAATATTCCGACGAATTGAAAACCTTCTTTTTTGAAGCTGGATAAAAAAAATACGAGAAGGTAAATACAAAGAACCTTTTTTCCTAAATAATAAAACTATCCTTTTTTGTTAAACAATATATTGGCTGTTATAGAGGATGATGGGCTTTCGGGATCATATAAATATATCAAACAATTACTATATAGGTACATGTTTATCACAAATTATTTGATTATAATTATTTAATACATACTTAATGTTAAAAACACTTATGAATCCCGCTACGGCGGTTCTTCTTTATATAGTTACGAGATCCTAGGATTCAGCCACTGCTGCCTTAAATTTTCGTTAATCTTCAATATATTTCCTTAATGTATTTTTCGAAAAATGGAGAATATGGATAGCAAAATTAGAAGATTTCACAATGTCAATGCAATGGTTCGATTCTGGATTTTAAAAGATATTCTCGTTGAATGTAGTCAACAATAAGAAAAATGTTGCCTTTTCGACCTGTTAATAAAACCGTAGGGTGGTTGGTTAAATATTCCCTATCCAACAGATAATTATCCAATCCATCTAAATAATATAATGATATTGCCCTAGAATCATTCGTTTCTAGTTTGAGTAGGTATTTCTGATTTTTTCCTATTTTGAATGTTGATTTGATTGATTTTTTCTAGTTATATTCTTAAATTGAGTACCTACTACCTACTTACTAATGCCGCGTTTGAGAATCGACATCGGATTCATCTGAGATGTAAAAAATCTTTGATCACGTGATTCAGTATACGTAAATATAATGGGACAGATGTGTCCGATGTGGATAAAAAAACGCTCGAGATGTAAAAAATGCATCCGATGTGGATTCTCAAACACGGCATAAGAATAAGATTTTACATCATGTTTGTTATTTTGTATCTGCCGTGAAACACAAAATGCAATTAGGTAACTAGTTATTTAACAATTTTTTTTTAGTATGATCAATCAAACGTTCAAATAAGTAGGAAACTTATCTTAAATTTAGTAATATTGAAGGCTTATTACTAATAATAAATTAAAATGATACCCACAGCTACTGCGGCAACCTCATACATGTTAAACCACCTAAATGTGGTGTATAGGTAGGTACGTGGAATAAAGCATTATCTACAGTTTAGCTAATATTATATTTTATCAATTTATAATAAAAATTACCGCAATAAAAAACCAGCAAAAAAGATTAAATAATATCAAAGAGATAACATTTTTAAATCTTATTTTATTTTGACTTTGAATACTCATATTTTTAAACTATATTAAAAATTCCCTAACTTCGATGCTACATTTTAACGTCTGGCAACGCCATATGTATTTGATGTAGTCGTGACTGTACGCCTGCCTTTCCAACCAACAAGAATCGCGTATTATGTCATGGCCGACCAATAGCAGGGATCCGGCATGACATCAGGTCCTAAAAATATACTAGTATAATGAAAACCGCACATGGGACTGTGAAATGTTTGAAATAAGCTCGAGTTTTGAGTTCAGCTGAGAACGCGGCGGGCGTACGAACTGCGGAGAAGCGGATATATGAAATGTTTATCAACTACGACGGCTCGGATTATTGTCAGAATTTGAATTTGAATGATAACGCAAGCGCTTCCGAGTGTCAGGGACTGTTGGTTCGCGAATTTTGTACTTTTTTACCGAGTGATTTTGATATTTGTTGCAGCAGGTGGTTTTATTTGAGGTAAATGTTTATATTTACCCTATTTACTGCCTGAATACATCCACGCTATTAAGATGCTTATCTCATGCTTAATTTTTATGCAATGTTTGTTTATCTTTAGATGTATTTAAGAGTTAAATTAGTTAATCGTCGGGTGCAAATTAAATTCATATTGACAAATTTAATGGACTGGTTAATCACCAACTCGTATTCCATAAAATACATTAAAGTTAAGTTTTATCTAAAAAAATCTTTTTGAAATCCAAGTAGGTAGGTATCTAATTTATTTAATTCTTAGGTCGATACAGTGAGGTTCTATTTTCCGGTTTACATTTTGCGACGCTCTATTTAGGTACCTACCTAAGTATGTAAAGAAGTATTGTGAGAATAATTGGCATTTTTGTATGAATTAATACAGTAACATGGTATTAGAACATTAAGAAGAATGAATACAAGACGTAGGTATTATTTACGTTTAATCAGAGGTAGAATTTTAACATAAGCGCGATGAAAATTTACGCCTTTTCATTATTTTTATTATTATGTAGGTATCTCAAATTGAAGCTCAGAGATTTTACTTTAACGTCTTACACTGTTGCCAAGTCTCACAAAAAAGTTAACTAGGTATCCAACTATTTATTATCAAAAGTACAGCGTTCATTTCGAATAATTTTCTTTATCATTAACAATATATTATAACTATTCACGTTTTACCCACGCAGCACTACTATTGTTTCTCTTTCCTGTAAAATTGATAGTATTAATTGAAAAAAAAATGGCATGATTTTATTCAAAAAAATTATTTGTATCCTTATTATTTATTTTCAGAAGATATGGAACTTAGGTTTTTTTGTTTACAATAACAATACCTACAAGTACGTAGGTATGCTTAGTTTTTCCGTAATCGAAAAGAGCTCAAACTAGATATTTACCAACACCCGAGCGCCTAAACACCACTGAAACCAACCAAATCATAAACGAAGTGCTAAAATGATTTAGGTATATACTAGCTTCTGCAGGTAGGTATCTGTGAACTTAACTTAATTTTTACATCCTTCTCACAGAAATGGTAGGTAGGAACATTTGAAAAAGAAGTTGTACTTCGAAACATGTCATGTGTAGTGTTTTTAATTTTAATTTTTTATTTTTTAAAATAAAAGTTTTGTGAAAATCTACCAAATTTGGTTTTACTCATTCAAGAATATGGAATATGTACCTAACTACTTACTAAATACTTGCAAATTGTCTTCTTGCTTCTTGTACATAGATTCAGCTTATTTGTTATTCGTATAACAAAATGGATGCCTAATGAGTGCCGCTTATTCAACCTAAAACATAATAACTATACCGCTAAAATTACAGATTGATAGGAAAATATAAACTTAAATACCTACCTACCCTCTGACCTACCTACTAGTAGGTATTATTAGTTTTTGTGAAAGCTTTGAAAATATGAGAGATAATAGCAAAATCTGACTATTTAAATAGGTAGGTACCTACCTACCTACCGCCAAATGTGATGCATGTGTATTCAATTAGGTACATTGAGATTTTGAAGTACCTACCTATTTTAAATATGCCTACATTTTTTTTTGGGGGTCGTTTTTCTACTTTATGAAATAGAATAGGTATGTTATTTACGCTTGGAGACGAAAGTTTATCAAATAAAAGTTGCTTGTGATGTCATTCTTTATAATTTCTGTCCTATATAAATGATTTTCCAAAATGGTCCGTATTCAAAAAATTTGACAAAAAAGTGCAAAATTTGAATTTGTAAGAAAATTGTTCAAATAAAAATTATTTGTGATGTTTTTTTCTATAATTTTGTTCTTATACATGATTTCCCTGAAACGAGATATTTAAGAGGAAACGTCAAAATTCGAATTTTGAAGATACCTAACTCAAAAGCAGATAAAAGAGAAAAACACCAAATTTTAAACCTTCCTGCGGTGAGCTGGTTTAATTTTGGGAATAGTCGAAGCATCTGGACAACTTATAGGGTGTCGTTTTTGAATATCTCTGTTATTTACGATTGAAGAAAACCATTTTTCGAATAAAAGTTGTTTGCGATATCATCTCTATAATTTTTGTTCTACACATGATTTCTCTAAAATTTTAATTTTTCAGTATTTTAGCAATTAATATAACAAAGTTTCGAGTAATATGTGTGTGGAAAATGTATATATTTACCTAGTTCATTTTCTAAACATTTACAGGGGCGATACATTAGGTTCTACAAAATAACCGGAAAAAAGCTTTATAATAACTAGACAGGAAAGTCATGTGTTGGACACACCAGATTTTTATTTGACATAAACCATGTTCAATTTTACCGATCTTTTCCCACCTTTTTCAATTTTTGTACGACAATAGGTAGCTAGAAATTTTCCAAACAGCTGGAACACTACCTACATTCAACCAACCAGTAATCAAAAGGATTAAAACCGTCTAACGGAAAACTTCCATTAGCATAATCAAGAATTTATGCATGGGTTTGATCAACATAGGTCAGTGGTTGACCTAGTTTTTGTTACCTATGTTTTGAAAAATTCAATCCAATTCCAAAGCTAAGTTCAGCTTGTGACTGATTGACCCTCATTTAGGCATTCTTAACATCGCTTAAGAAATGTTCTGCTACAATCATAATGTTATCAATTATTGCCACTACGGCTGACAAGAAATTGGAATTCCTCTTCCCAAGAAAGAATGTTCCCATCTAACATTTCTGACGCTATATTGAGATTGTTTACAGATTAGGGTAACCATTTTTGCATTCTTATTCTTACTACCATTTAAAGAGTAAAATCTTACTAAACATTTCGTGTCTTTAGACCATCGACATGCAGTTGTGTTCTTGTTTTATGTATGGGAAAATAGTCTACTTCTGAATCCCATAATCTGCCATTAACCACATCAGTCCAATTAACTCGTTCGATCTATATCTCAAAAGTACTAAGGAAGAAATTTACTTTTAGAATTGACACAGTTTTCATCTAGACGACCGCAGAGTTCATTTGCATTAAATTTTTTGTAGCCCTGTATAATGTATAAGATAACATATCTCACCTGAGTAATATATCTAAATGTTGTTTATAATGACCTAAAATCTTTCAAATAAAGTAACTAGTAAAAGCAGTTTAATTTGTCTGTATCGCCGCATTTGGGTGAATCAAATCAACCAGTGCTGTACTTAAAAAATACTAGGGCAATTTGATTTTAGAAGCCTATTCAGTGATAGTTTTAGATACATATGTAGAAGTAAATTAAATTTATTTAGCAATTTAACTAGTAGGTATTGGGTGGGAGATACAAATGAATAAGTAAATGTCATTCAATTTAGATTGTTATTACCATTTAGTGATATAAAAGATATATGTAAGTCTTTTAATGCCCGCATAACTCCCATATAGTACATCGTAAATGCTCTACATAGAAATCGGTGGGTAGGTGGTGTTTTTAAAACGACGTTTTTGGGTAAGAAGAGTTTAATGATTTGAATGGGGGCTGATGTTACAGTTATTCTATTTTGGGTTGAGTTTTTTATAAAACGTTTTATTATTAATTCCTCAATGTAGCAAAATTATCCGGTTTAATGTTAATGTTAAAATCCTATTTTGATCTTTAAAACAAGAAACATCTTCAGATTCTGTTCGGTTTGTCCGAGGGTTTGTCTATTTACTCGAGCGAATTTGAAGCTTGAGGTATATAATAAACGGCCTAAACAAATTTGTTTAATTTACTTTAAAAATTATTTTTTAAATGCGTTCATTCAAATTTTTCAACTTTTGGCGGGCCATAATTTCTCCCTAAGAAATTCGAACATAGACAGTTTATTTATTTATTTTAGTAAATATTTATAAACCAGTCTTCTGGGTCGATTCTGAGACAATCTATAAGATCTGTAAGCCAAAATCTGTAAAATATTACATTATATTAATATATCTTACAGATTCTGTAGCTTCTAGGATATTTCCAAGAATCCTACCATTAGTCTAGCCATTCCTTGAACAAGAATCGAAGTTTGGGTTAAGCTGCTCCAATTCTCAAGCCTACCACTGGAATTTAGTAAAATACCGTAAATACACAGTACGTCCAGTACTTCAGGAAAACAGAATAGAAAAACAATGCTATTGAAGAGACATAAATGAAATAATACATCGCCGACTAAGAACCGCAATATCGCCACCTGTCCATATCAAAATTCTCGTTATTACTCGTTCACCGACGGGCTTGGCCATGATTTATAAATATAGACCAAGTGAAATAATTTTGGAATTGAGTGTTTAAACTGATAATAGTATAGACAAAAGGCCTGTTTATATAATTCCAAATCCTGTTCCATCTACTAAGTAAATTACGTTTTTTAAATACATATCTAATAATATTTCTCGTAATATTTAAAGTAATTTTGCGATGATTCATTATTAGTGTTTGGAATTTATTATAACCGCAGATTTAACTTGAACATCTGGTTACCGATAATTAGTCTTTTTTAAAAAACGAGTCTGAGAAATAAAAAATGGGAATTGTACAAAGAATTATAATCTAGATAGGTATTTTTGACAATGGGCAAAATTTATAGATTTTTAATATCGATTTTAGCCACTAAATATCAATGGTAGATTAGTTACGGTTAATAAAAGTAATGTTCAGCAGACTGTGGATCTACACCGAAAGTAACAATATTATTTATATTTATAAATGAAAATAAAAATTTAGTTTTAATAACACTATAGTAGCACTGAATATGAAAACATAATAATAATAATAATCTTAGAATTTCTTGTATTGATTTATACCTTTAAGAGCCCCGCACACCACATATATTTCGTTTTTTGACCGTAACGTCCTTATTTTTAAAAATATATTTTTTTTGTTTTCACTAGTCGATTGGTAATTTTTATACAATTGGAGCGTGTTTTTTACATTTTTGAAAAAAAAATTATGAAATTTTTATTTTTTAAACTACGATAAAAATTGAAATTCTAAAAAACAGCCTCCTTTACAAGTAAAATTTAAAA